TACTGCCTGTAAGTTTCTCTACAGCTGATAAATCAGGGCGACATGTTTTTTTTCCAAATTCTTTAGAGAATTCGGATACAAAGTTCCCGAACCTTCCCTAACTTTTAAATGGTATTGAAATGCTAGAGGTGATAATACAAGAAAAATAGTGAAAATAATATTAATCGACCAGACCTGAATCATGGTTTAGTATATAATCAGGGTTGCCACAGAATTAAGGAAATTAATTTCCTTGACACGTTTTAGTAAAATCCCCTGACAATTAAAATTATTCCAGATGGTTAAAAAGACATATTTTGAAATAGTTTCCAGGCGAAATTTGTGCTTCAAAACGGCGAACTCATTACAGACAGCGATTAAAGGTGACTTAACAATTTTTCCCTGATACGTTCGTTATTTCCCCCGATATTGGAAAGATTTCCCCTTTTCCCCTGACATTTCCCGTTGTTCCCGGTATTTCCTGACTGTGGCAACCCTGAATAATGGAATTGTGAACGATTTAAAATGTCAGAGCTCCGAAATCCAAAACGGGTCGATTAAAAAAAGTCTACTTTTCCCGCATTTTCAATTGGACCGTGTTAAGCAAGAAGGAACCAAGCCACATCAGCTATTGCCTTTCATCGGGCAGTTTAAGTTTTTACATGAAAATGGTTATGCGAATTTTTATGCAAATTCCAGTGAATTTTCTACATACTCCGAGGCGAATCCCTCAAAATTTCCAAAAGAAGCCTCACAAATGTTCTCTTTAAAGCATTAAATTCCCCAGTTAAATTTTGCAATAGCTGATGCGGCTTGGTTCCTTTCTCCTGAACGCGACCCAATTCTAGCGCTTACGTCTTTTTGGCAATAATCGGCCCAATTCGTCCCCAAGGAACGTAATTCCATTGCAAGGTTGCCAAATTGACTCAAACAATTGATTTATTTTACAAAAATGTACGTAAGCAATTTGTATTTAAAATATTGCTATTTTTTGCTTGGAATCTAGAGAAAAATCAGGGAAATTTTCAGTTAGAAATGCCCAAGATTCTCATGATTAATAGGCGATTTGTGAGGGGAAATTTGGCAACATTGAAATGGAGTTACGTTCTTTCGTCCAGGAGACGACGAATTGTGGATCGAATAGCGTTACCACGCGGGAGCAGCGGAGTTCCTGAGATGAAATCAGAGCTCAGATGAGGAATACGATGTCTCCTGGAGCGGTCAAGCACATGCACCGGCGCGCGAAGCGAATCCCAGGACCCGCGGTCAGGGCGCGGACCCCCCGAATCTACGTGGCTCCCCTATCCCGAATCTCGGCGACTGTTTGATAACACGCTCTGCTGCACCCACGTACCCACGTCCCGATGACATGGTCATCTCCCCCCTGTGAACCTCCTCCCCCTCCCGCGCCCGGCCGCTCAATATTGGATTCCGCCGTAATCTTGGTAACTGTCACAACTCGTAGGCGCGGGTGGGAAGGAGTTACGCCTTGCACAGCATCCATTTCCAACAAGGGGCAGTTTGGCCCCGGAGACAGAGGGGCGTTGGTGCTCCAGAATTTGACCTGAAAAGCCCCCTCCGCCAAAATTTGGGAGCCCCATTAGGCACTTTGAGAAAAATTTTGCAGAAATTTTGCTTGACCCTGGAGACAGGGGGCGTTCGTTCACTAAAATGTGACCTGAAAAGCTCCCTTTGACAAAATTTGGGAGCCCCATTTGGCATTTTGAGAGAAATTTTGCAGAAATGTTGCAAAATTTTGCTTGGCCTAGGAGACAGCTAGGGGGCGTTCGTTCTCTAAAATGTGACCCGAACAGCTCCCTTTGACAAAAATATTGCAAAACCTTTCAGGGCCATACACTTTGACGTTCTTTCCGCCTTTGTCAGGAGGGACTCTCAATAATTTTTCAGTGGGGACTCCCTGCTCCTGAAGAATTTCGAGCCAGTCCTCTCCTACTCCCAACAGTAGGGGAAAAGACAACAGACTGGCTGATCCTATTCAGAATGACGATGAGACGGTTAAACGCGGTATTTCATATGGTCTCTTACTCTCATAGAACTTTCTTAAAATTTAGAACGAACTGTTTAGGAAAGCACTGTGTCCAGATATCAAACTTAAGTATCTTTCATGGAGTTTACGATGGTCGTTTCACGGTGACTCTGTAAGCGGAACCGAAGGTGTATTGGGGGGGGGGGAGCTCTCCGGGAAATGGGCTATATTTTACTTTAAAAAGTGCTCGACGAATCTTTAATTTTTGAAGATGTATACTTTAATTAACTTTTCGATGAGAGGGGGTCAAAATTACTCTAGCGACGACTCGATTTTTCAAAATTTTCAGGAGGGAGGATGGACCCTCTTTTGGATCTGGGGAAGTCACCCGAATCCCTCTTGCTCCCCCGCTTTCCACAAAAATTCCCTACATTTCCGCCCATGAGGATCAAATCAGTGTTATTACCATCAAGATCAAATACTCAGTCAGTAAAAATGCTGTTATCCTGAATTATTGGTGTGAGAGGTTTATTTTTTTTAAACTGGATCTGGAAGGACATACCAATGGACTCGGTTTAGTGTACTCGCATACAGGTTCAACGAGTATAATAATATGTCCTGTTTCTTCTCATATTGGGCCGATTGAAAAGGGGAGGCACTTTTGCTAATAGTCCGAGACAAAAATAAGAAGGCACTAGAACTCATACTTGGCATTTTCAAACATCTGAAACCGGTCCATCTTTGTCCCCTGTTTCTGAGCGTTTAAAAATAAAAGCAATAAATATTTTTCTTTTTATTCTTGCATTCTTTTAAAAAAAGTCGTGTTATTTATTAAAAGCAGAGCTGCAAAACTCGCCAAGCAGCGCGAATCGTACTTCGAAACTGATTAATGAAAATAGAGAAATTGAAATTTTGTGATGAAGTTTCTACAATTTTTCATCAACCAAGATCTATAGCTTTCCGTCTTATTTTCCTAAAAGAAAATTAAGAACACTCCGCAATGTCTTACCATAAAATTGTAGTTTGTTTTCGATAGCTCTTCGAAAGATCAGAGCGTGTCTAGGAAGAAGGAAAAAGTACGATGGAAGGATGATATATTACTCAGTAAAATTAGAGCATTAAGGAAGGAGGAAAAATAGATCTGCATGCTGTTCAACATTTGCGCACGTATCGCGACTATTTTGACCTTTTTTATGGTTGAGCAGGGAGGTGGAGGTTGAACAGTAGTCTCACTTTTTCCTCAAGATTTTTTTGAACTTCCCAAAATTTTGATCCAAATATTTAAGGGGTGGAGTTTTTTTATATTTTTAAATGTTTAAAAACAACAAAGACTTGCTCAATGTTCTCTAACGCTTCAAATAAATTTTTCGTTTTTTTCATAACTTAAACTGATGTCTCTAGATGCTGTTAGGTAAAAAGTTAACTGTTTTTCACCTCCAACTTTTATCAAAGAAGGAATCAGGTCGATTTGGTGATACTTGCAGTAAACAAATACAACTTTAATACAGCTGAATTACTTGTAACTTCTGTGGAGACAAAAAAAAAGTGAATAAGAAGTCATGTGCGTTCGGTTCATTTACTCGTCAATCCGGCGTTTTTAAGAGCAAAAAAATGACAGCTAGCTTTCACCTGAGATTTGTGAACGGTAAAAAGTAAGAGTTTGGATTCTGCTTTCATTTCAAATTGAACCCAAAAGAAGAGAAAAAAGCTGTTTTCTGAACGACTTTTCTCAAAAAAGCATTGTGTTGAATTAGCTAGAGTTCCATCTATTGATTCCCATTTTAAAAAAAACTTATTGATCATGATGACGATTGTTTCACACACCTTTTCGCTCTGAAGAATGTCAAAAAAGATGCATACTAGCTTATGCTTGAGCTACGTAATTAGTATGACGTACCTAGGTAATTTTGTTCCCTTATCAAAAATTGATCGAAATCGGAGTTCCACCTCTAAACCTTGAAAAACGTCCTCGATTACAACTCTATTTGACCGAAAAATGCATCTTCTCGTGTGTGAAAAAGTGACATTTAATCTGCTCTAACTTTTGAAAGGTCATGGTATTTTTGTTATCTGAATAATTCATATACCTAGGTATTATGACATATTGCGGTGTTGATGGCATTTGAGGAAAAGAGCAAAATACATTGAAGACATGTCGAGACAGGGTTGAGTAATCTGATGCAGGTATAAAAAATACATTATAGTAATCAAATTCAATTGATTATAATTAAATTAAATGCACCACATTTTTGCGTCATTCCTGAGTGAAGATTCCTGATTATTTCCAATGATTTATCCATACTGATAAGAAATCACTTCAAAATTTTTTAATCATATACATGTAAGTGCTTTTGATTTCGTGTATCAGATCAAATCAAGATTAGAACATTGTCGGATCTCTATCTGTTCCAAGTCGCTGTATACAGAGAAAAGGGTTATCATCTCCTCACCGAGTAATTTTCGTAAACAAGCGCATTCCAGCATACACCGCGATGCGTTAAAAAAAAAAACCTAGGCATTATCAGGTATCAAACCTCTTTTCTTAGACCAAAAATTTGCATTGATATTATCTTAGGATGTTAGGTAATCGACAAAACTCCCGTGATGTGGTGACTACACCGCAGCAATCAGGGAAATCCCCGTCTATATTTCGTCTTGAGGAAAAAAAATTAGGATTCGGAAAAAAAAACACGTCCAGGAAGTTCGGAACTGACCAGACATATTTTACTATTCGCGATGGGTCAAAATTCACAAAAAATTGGAATCAGTTACCACGACGGCTTATTTTTATTATTATTAATGATTATTCACAAAAATTTCAAAATGCTAAAAAAAATCGCTTTAAAAATTATCGAGTTACGGGTACTTTTTTATTCCCAAATCAAAGCGAGGTTAGAACTTTATCTGCGAATCGTATAGGGAAAGTCGTTGTCTGTATTTACCAACAATCGACGTTAAAAAAACGACGTTCCGATAGACGTAAACAATTTACGGCACGACCACATGTTCTACGTATCTGAGCTGACGTACTTACTTGTACAAAATATCGACACGAAGAGGATCATCCGATTGACGAAGGAGCTGAGTATGGATTTCATGTTGAAGTTGAGGTAATTTCTAAACACAGACGAAACACGAGAATTCATCGCGGTACGGTTTGACGAGTCGAGCGGAAACGAAGCGAAAGCGCACTTGGAACCGTTCGAGAAGAGACACGAGGATTGACTGAGGACTGAATTAACCATGCCGATGGAATGTTTCTACCGTTCATTCGCCAAAACTTTCGTAACGGAGCGGAGGGGAGCAGCGCGCCACGGCGGATTCGAATGTCACCGCGGGGATTGGTCGACGCAGCGTACTACGATCTCGGCTCCGCCAATCAGCGGGCTCCGTTAGAATCACGCCACTCGGGCCTCGAGCGTCAGGCGACGCGGCTCGCTCCGTGCAACCGTCGCGCCGCGCGGACCCTCTTCGCCTTGGCGGCTTCGCCCGAGGAGCACCAGCGAGTAACCTACTGGAACTGCAGGTCTTCCGAGAGTCACTGGTTGTAACACTGGTGCCAAGTCGGGCAGGAGGGTGTCCGGTTTCCTCAGGCTTGGCGCCCGTTTTTTATCCTGGCGTCCGATCGTACGATCCAGTTTTTTTTCCTCGCGGATTTTTTTTACAGCGCGGTCAGATCTGGTGGTTTGGTTGCCTTTCCTCAGTGTGTAATTTATTTTCGTCAATTGAGGACGCCTAAGTAGAATTGTCCATTACATTAGGTAGAGACGCGAAAAAAAAAAAATATTGGGGGCGCGAATTGGGAAACTTAAGTTTCTTCTTTTTTCAATAGAATTAATGTAAAATTCAAGGGGATGGTTTGCATCAAATGTTGCCGAATTCCAGAAATGATTCGAATTGATGCAAAAGCGCGAAATTTGTGATGTGGAAAACTAATGTTTGACGTGAAGAAGGGTAGAAAAGTTTTTTTAACTAATTGTCTTCTTGAACTAACGAATTGGGTAACTTGAGTTTCATTCTTTTTTCAATAGAAGTAATGTAAAATCTAAGGGGATGATTTGCATCAAAATGTTGCCAAATTCCAGAAATGATTCGAATTGATACAAAAATGTGAAATTTGTGACGTGGAAAACCAATACTTGACGTAAAGAAGAGTGAAAACATTTTTTTTTGACTAATTTTCTTCTTGAATTCACGAGTTATTGAAACTGTAAGACAATATCATTTCAGGTCTGTTGCAGTGTGCCGTTTCCTGTGTGTACGCTAGGGGACCAGTCACCAGTCACTGCTTTACCAAAAAAATAAGGAACTTAATTATCGTGGTGGTAAATTGCATTACTGGAAGCAACTTTTACTACTCCTATGCCGCTGAAGCTGCTTATTGTAGAATTGAAGGCTAACTGGTTGGAATGAGCTTGGAACGGTGCATTGTTGGTAGATAGTAGTCACACCATCCAATGATAGGTGAGCGCAAGATGGTTTGCTCCTCCCACCGGATTGTGATTGGCTCCCGCCATAGTACTATAACGGTAGTTGTAGCGGTAGCCAACCACCATCCAGTGAGAGGAGCCATTCATGTATAACCACGTTCATTTGTAATAAACATTGTATCGGTGGACTACCAGCAACTGTGTATCGTTGCGCGCTCATTTTGATCAGTTCGCCTTCAATACGAAAGTAAGCAATGTGAGCGGCTTTGGAACAGTTGTGACGGTAGCCAATCACTATCCGGTGGGAGGAGCAGTGCGTCTAGCGCTCACCCCTCATTGGCTTCACCTGCTCG